CGCGTCCCCGCCCCGCCGCTGGCCGCGCCCGGACCCGCCGCAGATCGAGCAGGAGGTGGAGAGCGGCCGGCAGCGCCCACGCCGAGCAGCGGGCGCATCACTTACCCCTCACGGTTCAGAGAGGGACCGGACGGGGAGGCGGGGCGCGCTGCGTCCCGTGAGTCTTCAGCACGCCGTCCTCCCCCCACCCTGTCGTCGTCGTCGTCGTCGCCGCTGCCACGGCCGAGCTGCAGGCCCCTCAGCTCCGCTGGGCAATAACGTTATTCCACACACGCCCCGCACATAGCGGTAACGGCAGAGAGCGGCCGCTTAGTGCGCAGGCGCCTGGGGAAAGGGCGAGGAGCCAGGCCTGTCCCCTCCTCCCGCCCGGCCCAACGATCGCTTACTGCGCAGGCGCCAGTCCCAGACAATGAAAAGGACTTGTGCGGAGGGTCTCACCCACTCGCTTCCCCGGCTGCCCACTGCGCAGGCGTGCCCCCAAAAGACCGGCAGGAACAATGAGCCCGACCCTGGCGAGAGTCGGGACTGCAACCAACGCGGACTACATTTCCCAGCGGGCAATCCGCCAACTCCAAACCAAGGTCGGGTTGCTGGGCATGCTAGGAGTTGTAGTGTCGGCCCCCTTCACAGACGAGGGCTGTTTGGAAGATTTACAGCTTCTTTGCTTGAGAATTTACTTCACTATTTAGATAGATGTCGCAACTGAAACAGGTTTAAATCTTGTTACATGCTTCCTTCCCAAGCCTCAGGGGCCAACTACATACGAGCACATTTTGAAGCGTCAAGTACTTCAGTGAGCCCTTTCTGTCAGCTGGGTGGTCCAGACAACGCAAGGATGGGAAGAAGGCGGGACTCAACAAGGCTGGAGTAGAGGGAAAGGGCGGAACCTCCAAATACTGTCTCTTGGCAACAGACTTTGGTCGCCAAACCGCCCAAACAAAGACCCTCTGGGAATTGTAGTGTAACTAGAAGGCCGGAGGCTGCCGACCACGAGCCTGAGAACTACAACTCCCGGCGTCCACCGCGAGGGCCACTAGGTAGGAGGAGTCGCCAAGCGCTCATTCCCGGGTTCCAGGCTCCCCAGTGACAGCAGCCGCAGGAAGCAGCCGGCGTCCCCTCAGTGCTAGGCCGGTCCTCGGAGGGGAGTGCACTGGACACATCCCCACGTAGCTCCTATCTCTGGGCCCAGACTCTGTGCATGGCGAAGTCCCCAGGGAACTCTACCCTGGAGGAGATTCTGGGGCAATATCAACGGAGTCTCCGGGGTGAGTTGCTCCGAACCACTGTGCCTAGCGCCTTGGTACCCAGGGCCTTAGTGGGCGGGACAGATCAGGTGCCCTTCCTCACATCTCACTTGGGCTCCAGCCAGGCTGCGGAGGAAGAAGATGGATGTGGCTCTGATTTTGAGGAGGAAGAAAATTTTCTTCACGCTTAAGCAGCGTTATTTCCTTGGTTCTCGTAGTAGTTTCCTGACAAGGTGTCCTGATCTTAACTTGGCGTCTTTCTCAGCTAGAGCCAGCAGAAACTTTTGGACGGCTCTATGCCACTTTTGCCCCCTTCCCATACTTTGCTGTTTAATCCAATTCACATAATTCACACTTTTTACGCAAGTTATGGTGTCGAGGGTTGAAGGTGACTTAAAGACCGGGGGACAGCATCAATAGTTATTCACAGCAATTCGCTACTTGCGTGCAGTAAATCATTTAAAACTTACAACAGTCTTATGAGTAGTCTTATTTTACACATGAGGAAATCAAAGCGCAGTGAGGCGAAGTTATAGGCCAGAGCCTACACAGCTGGTGTGTAGCAGAGCCAGGTATTAAATTCAGGGACGTGGCTGGATGTGGTGAGACATGCATGTAATCCCAGAACTTGGAAGGCTGAGGCAGGAGGATCACTGTGAGTTCAAATTCATTCAGCTTGTGTTGCATAGTGATACCCTGTCTCAAAACAAACAAACAAACTCAGGGATATTTGCCTTCCACGCCTATCTATTTCTTTTTAGTTAATTAAGATTTTCTTATTACAGTACCTATGAGTACTGTAATAATATGCTGAGGTGAGGTCCATACTTGGAGATGTTATCTTGGACAACATATATAACCTCTAGAAAATCAGAGTTTTGTCATGTTGTAATAGAAGTTATTATATTATCTACAGGGAAATTATGATGGGCAAATGAAACAACCCACATAAAGCAGCAATTTTCAGACTTCTTTAAAAATTGTTACCCATTGTAAGAAATGTATTTTTATACTATATATATATATATGTATATATAACTAAAAAAGGTTTTACTAAAGAGTTCTTATGCTATAGATGCCATAAGATTCCTCTAGGTTATGATGAACAGTTAAAAATATGTAAAAATTTAGAGACCGAAATTATTTATACTTTTTTTTTTTTTTGCTACAGTTAGGCATACGTGCTGGGGATGGAATAAGGATCAAGATAAAGTCCTTTCCCCATGGAGTCTCTAGATTAGTGAGGGAGAAAGATAATAAATAGATTAGTTACCTATTACTCTGTTAAAAAATAAAGATAAGGATCAGTGCTGGGCATATAAGCTCTCATAAAATGTTAAGTGCTGTTTTTATGTAGTACTTGAAGGAAAATGAAATTTTTTTCCAGGAGATGAGAAACTCTTCTCATGAGTCTAGCCTTGGTAGAGTTATTTATTTTCTATGTCTATCATATTACAAACTATCAACATTCTCAGCATTCAGGCTGCAACATTAAAGAAATTAAAGGAGTCAGTCTTAATAAATACCTTCATCAGCTTGGAGCATTCAATAGCTGTTAGCCATTGCAGAAACTTTTCATTTGGAAAATTATTGTGCCCAACAATATGAGTAATTTTACTCAGTTTTTCTTAGATTGGTAAAAATGTTGTTTTCTATTATGTTTCTGTAATGGTTTCCCTCTTTTTACCTTGTTTTGAGCTTGTATGTAACCATTGGGGGTTATTGCAGGTTAGGCATTTTGACAGTGAAGGGGTTAATTCCAATTGATAGTAACATGTTTAATACCACTGGTACTGCTTTCAGTAATTAAAGAATGAGTTTTCATTTAAAGTGAATACGTTTTTTTTTTTTAATTTGAAATTTAGAGTGATAGAAATGTAAATGAAAACATTTCACCTCAAACAAAGAATTAAAAAAAGTTAAACTTCTTTTAAGATCTTAGTCATAATTTAAACAGTGAATCATGAAATAGAACCTGAAATTATTTATGAGTTTTCAGGAAGTATCATTTATGCAGTAGCATTTTTATTTTTAAATACTAGTTTATGTTATAGCTTTGAGAGAGAATTTACCCTGAACTTTAGCACAATCAGAAGTTCTTCACTTTATAAAAATAAATTACTTTTATATTTGCAAATATAAATATAATCACAAATATAAACTACTTTTAGCAAAGATACTTCCTTTTAAGGTAAAATTGTGTGTTTCCGAATAATCAAAATTTCTGGAGCTATTTTATATGTGGAACTTCATTATTTCTGTGATTTTGCCTAATAATTTAAGAAGTATGTTACTAGAATGTCTAGCATCATTCATACTTAATAATGCAAAGCTATAAATAGTCTTTACTCCCTAATTAATCCTGTGACATATCTGTGCATGTAATCATTACTAATACCTTGTATTTTTGTTCAGCCAGAAAGAGACACATAAAAAATGCAAAAGGCCTTCGCAGTTTTCCATGATAGTACCTCCAGATTTTATAACTTTCCTGCTTTTATTCATTTTAAATATAACTTTTTGGAACTATTATAGTATACTAGGAATTAGAAGTGCAAATGTGAAAAGCAGAGTCAGTGTTCAAAGTTTTCTTTTTTACTTCAAGCCTGAGTGGAATCCTTGATTCTCCTGGATCTGATAGTGCTTCCTAGTGCTTTCAGTCGTGAAAATAGGAAGCCCCATTTGTAGAGGCTATACTCAGCATTCATCCTTTCCTTTATACTTTTCTTTCTTTCTTGGAACTGGGAGTCAAACTTAGGACCTCTCACTTGCCAGGGAGGCGCTGTGCTGATGAACTGTATCCCTGGCCCTCCCTTATACTTTTCAGATGTGTTCATAGTTTGATCCTTTCAAAGAGCCCTCCTTTTTGTTTATTCATTGTTTAAAGATTTTATTGTTTTTTTTTGTTTTGTTTTTCGCTTTTCTTCTAGTACCAGGAATCGAACTCACGACCTTGCGATTGCCAGGCAGGCGCTTTGCTGCTGAGCTGAGTCCCCAGCCCCTGTTTAAAGATTTTAATTGGCTTACTTTGCAATTCTAAAATTGGCCAACACTGCCTTCAATAAAATAGATTATATGTTCCCGGATTTCTCTTGTTTGTGCCCACTCTGCAAGAAATTGGAGAGGTTTAATGATTCTCTTCAAAATGAGAGTTATGGCAGAAAAATTAGAAGACTTTTTAGCCTGGCAGATCTGTAATATTATTCCTACCTGGATGTGGTGATGCAGACCTGTAATTCCAGCACTTGGCGGCTGGGATGGGAGGAGTGATTCAAATTCAAGGCCAGCCCGAGCTACATATTTAGTGTTACATAGTTAGTTCAAATCCAGCATGAATTACATAGTGAGACCATGCCTTAAAAAAAATTATTCCTACAAAGTAAATTATCTAAAATATTTCAGTATTAAAATAATTGACATATTGTCGGTGTTCTGGGAGCATCAGAGCTTAATCTAAAATCGGAGGTGATTTGGATGGTCTTTTGACAGCACGGTTAGGTGTTTCATTTACTGTATAGTTAGCAATAATTCAAGATCCACAGAATGGCTGAGAGCATATTTATAACTAGGGAGGTTAGCAAATAAGGCCCCTCCTATAATTTAAATTCAACACATCATTGTATAAGGCCATGAAATATAAAATAAAGTAGTTTGTAGCCAGAAAGGATGAGAAAAGCCAAATAATGGGCAACTCAGATTCTAAGTTTCTGCATACTCGAACACAAAGATGTGATATTTTTTAGAAAGGACAGACACCTCTGAAAATGAAGTATCCTAGCCTTAATGACAGAATAATGTCTTATTTATTGCTGCAGTATTGGTGCTAGATATAGTCTTACCAACAATACCTGTGTACATGGCTCACCTATTCTGGTAGTTCCGAGCCACTTTTGCATGGATAGACATAAATAAACAAACAAAAAACATAGTATGAGAGATCATATAACTTCTTTTCTATATGCATTTTGTACGCTAGTTCTCCATTTTTCTTTCAAGACTTTGATGCATCAGCCTCTACACACCTTCTGGGATGTGTAGGGAAAAGTAATAATGGAGTCAAAGAAGGCAATCTGCAGCTAGGAGCCAGGTCATTGAACTTAACTTTGCTCATAACAATCTGCTTGAGCTTAGGCAACTTAATAAACTGTTCTTGGATTTCTGTTTCCTCATTTGTAAAATGAAAAGTTTGGAATAAATGTGGAGAATTTACTGCTTTTAGGAGCCAAGCAGATGACAAAATGTGTAACAGAATCAGCAGAAGACTCTGGGAAAGTAAAGTTTATGGCCAAAATACGGTTTATGCTTTTTCTAAAAGTAATGCCTTTCCTGCTTCCCCCTACTCTTTTTTCCTTCTTCCTTCCTCCTTGCCTTTCCCCAAAAAGGAAGTCAAACAAAACAAACCCAAAAGCCTAGTTCCCCTCTGGACACCACTATCTGACCCTTGGATTGTTAATGTTTGTCTATTCCATCAAGGCTCACTTGGACTATGTAAATTATAAAGGTAGTTTCTGCCTAATGAAAGCAAGAGTAAGGAGTTAGACTAGGTACACTGAAAGTGAGAGGGTGAATGTGGGAATGAAGTATACCTGAGGAAGGCCCTTTTAGTGTAAATTGCTGTAGTTTGAGAAAACCCTGGATGAAGTTGATATTGTCTGTTGTATTGTATTTGACTGGTACATCTTTTCAGATTCTGCAAAAATGTTTGGCTCTTGCCAGGAAAGGGCTCACATCTGTAGAATGATTATGTTAATCTCTGTTTTTGGCTAGTGGATTAGCCAGCAGTGATATCATCTGTATCTTTGGCAGACTTAAGAAAACATGTACAATTAAAATGAAAGTCTCTGATTTACTCAAAAAACAATTTTTTTCTTTTCTCAAATATTTTCTGGGTATTGTTTATATGTATATGTACATGTATGTATATATATCAGATTTTACTGATAAAGGGGCTGGGGATTTAGCTCAGCAGCAAAGTGCCTGCCTGGCAAGCGCAAGGTCATGAGTTCAATTCCTGGTACCGG